CCCCAACTCTTCCGTACACGTGCCGAGAGTATTTTGCGCACGTGATCGCGCCAACTTTTACACAACTAGACTTCGTATTGTTATAATGATCGCTCTAAAGTATTGAAAGCAACTAAAGTATTGAAATAAACGCAAATCCGATGATCTACCTTATAGAACATGTGAAAGCAATGTTGGATCGAAAGTAAAAAATAATAATTCCATCGACGATTGAAAAATACATTCTAAAAACCGACGAACATAAGTAACAGTAATATTATAAAGCGCAGAGGTAACCGAACGACTTCTAGTTCTTATATAAAATCATCGACGTTAAAGTTGCTTCCTTACCAAGAAAATTACGAATCGTTTTCTCTCATTAAATCATAACAGTGCGTTATAAAGATCGGTTAATCCCTATTTCTCACGCATTATTAAAAATCGTACGAGGTATCCGGTTTAAATATCGAGTGAATAGAAAGAAATGAAGTAAATAATTGAAATCGTTTTATTTCTTATTGTAAATATTCCTAGCGTCTAATTTTTTTGCGATTTATTTATGATAAATAAATATTTATCGTAAAATAATTTACGATAAATAAATAAATGAATTATTTAAATCGCATTGACAAATCTGAAAATTATCTCAATAATATTAGAACCATAATGAATTCAGCAGTCGATGTGCCGCTAGAGAATCTCCTTTCCTCCATTACCGTGACACAGCGTGAAACTTAACAAGAATATTTTCTATTTCTGGATGGACGTATCGTATTTATAGATCGTTCTGGATTCTCCCTATGTATTTATAGAAGCGTTTATCGTAATCCTTCCTTTTTCTAAGCGGTCTCTCCCGACTGGAAGCGGATAGGAAAGCTGTTCGTTCCAGCTGGTATGCTTCGATACTACCGAAGAACTACAAAAGAAGAAAATGAATAAGCGTGCGTGCCGGCTTCATCTTATGTGTCGTTAAAAAAGAGCAAAAAGATTTTCCTCTGGCATTAATGAGAACTATCGGAGGCAAACATGTACATCCTACACTTTTCGATATTACCGATAACGTCTATGTATTATCTTCGATTTCTTTCCTTAGATCTTGAGATGCGATGAACGACCACGAACATAGATACAGTATAAAGTAATCGCTAATAGGAGACAAGATACGATAAGGGAACACGACAAAGTTTCTTTTCGATAATACTTGGATATTTCATCGGCGCTCCCGACTAAATGGACGAATAAACAAGGATCGTGGAACGCATATTTTCAACGTTTCCGTATTCAAACAAATGCAATATAGATTTTGCATTTCGTGTCGTGCGTAGGTCGAAATATGCCGTTAAGCAATTGAGGAAAATCCAGCCACGGAAAATCCTAGATATGTCACCGCGTTAAAAAAAAAAGATAAAAAGATAAAAGGAGAAAGAAAAAAGAAAAAATAAAGAAGAAAAACAATCTTTCTTTAAAATCTTCAATATAACGTTCGAATAGCGGTACCGATTTTTATCGCTATGATCGTTCATTAAATTATACTATAGATTTAGATTTTAACAAATATTTATGGCAACTTGAAACAATTTTTTTCTTTTTTTGTAAAGCGATGTGAAAAGATAAAATGTGATCATACTAACTATATACTTCTCGATTTAAACTAAATATTACAAGTCATCATGATCCTCATCTTGTAAGAATTTCTGGTTCGATACAAGAGATATTTTCTATTTCTGGACATTCTGTGGTATATTTATAGAGCAAGTCAATAGTGGTCGCAGGCTCTCGTTTTACCAGCGTACGTTGCCTGTGGTATAACGCACATAGGAAAGCGAGATCTTACGTGAAAGCCGTTAAGGCCGTTCCGAAGGAGCAGTTTCTAGACTTGCCAGAGAGAAACCAAGAATCGGAGAGGATCTCGGCGCTGCCACTACCGCGACAACCGTCGACGCCGCTTAAAGGTCGTGGAAATGTCAACAAACGAGCTCCGACAAGGACGTTTGAATTGGTTGCAATCGTTCGTGCAAGAGCAATATGCGTTTTTCACGCTTTTCTCGGCATATTAATGAAGAAAAAAATATTAAATGCTGATTTTAATAAGCTCTCTTCTCTCTCAGATATCTTTATGGATTCCCTTTATGTTATGTTTATTAATCAGATTAACGAAGCTATCATATATATGTTCAATATTAATATCTATTGACAGATATTGAAAAAAGTCTTTGAAGTAACTTAACACTTAAGAAAAATGCTTTTTAAATGACGTCATAAATATCAGAAAATAAATCTTTCTCTTAGCATTCAGTATCAACAAGTGTTATATGTAAGTCTTATATTTATTTCAATTTTATATTTATATTTCATATCGAAATTTGTTCGACGTTTCCAATTTCACGCGGAATAAGATTCGACGGACTAATTTGAAATTATTTATCTACGTTAACGACTAATATTTTAATGAGCGACATTAATACATTTTTCGAAAGGAAGAAACGAACAAATATTATGGTGTAATTTTACTCTTTCTTCGAATAATATTACACTATATAAGTAGTCTTATTTTTTTTTCCCCCTATACAAAGAGATCTTGTTCAGACCAGTATTCAGATCAGTGTTGTCCGATGACGTTCGACGACGATATCAGCCAAAATCGAGAATGTTAAAGAAGAGTTGTCATCGTTCTTCTCTCTCTCTCTCTCTCTCTCTCTCTCTCTCTCTCTCTCTCTCTCTTTCCCCCTCTTCATTTCCTCATAATTTGCGCAATATTTTTAAGAGAAATGAGTGTAACGTAATCCCCATAAAATTATTTATATTTGAATTCTTCTTAATCAAATACTTTCGTATAGAAGATCGTCGTTGTTTCTCAGAATATCTCAATGCAGAACGAATCGATCTTTATATCGTAATCATAGTACATATATGTATTTCTTTCGACGTTACAAACTTTATCTCGACGTCATTATATCGATGCGAAACGTTTTCCCAGAAGCTATTGTATAATATTTTATTTTTCACATCATTTCAAAAGTCGTGTTCGGTGGATGTTCTCGAGACGAGCATCGATGTCTCCGATTCTTGAAAACGATTATGTAATAAGAGGACAATACCTTTTTACAGTAGTAGAACGTTATTGAATATTCGAAAAACGTTTAAAAAATATATGTATGTATATATATATATATATATATATATATATATACATATTCGACTCGCTAATTTAATATTAACTAATATTAAGTTATTTACTTAATCTTAACTAATAATTAAATTCTAAAATAAAATTTTCTTTTTTATATTCGTCCTTACGATAATATATTTTCTAAAAGAATAATTTGTCAAATTTATCTACGCATATGTATTATATATTGTAATATCATCATTTAACTAACGTTAATGTTATTGTCGAAACATTTTCGATAAAGGCTAGACGCATAAACTATAGTTGGGAAATACTCGAGACGTACGTAATTTTGCGGAACGGCAATACGACGAACGAAGCGTGTGTGCTCGGTTACAGTTAAAATCGATTTATCCACGACCTTATTTCCTCAAAAACGTTGCTCTGTACGACAAACATGCGTTGGCCAAGCACCATTTTTGTACTGACGGATTTTACATGTCCCTCATTTGTTGTAGCCTACGCACAACTTTACATTCGAATAGGTAGACGAAATTGAAATTCGTAAAAGTCTTCAATTTTTCATGAAATCAAATGATTCGAATAATCCATTCGCTGTGTAATGCAATTCGTTCCCAATGGTCTTTTTCTTTTCTTTTTATTATTAGTATTTTTTCTTCTTCTTTTTTTTTTTTTTTTTTTTTTTTTTCTTTCTTTTTTGTATAGAAACAAACTCTTAAACGATTCTACAAAATTGTAAATCGAGTCGAAAGTCAAATGTTGCACAATGATCCACAGGTCGGAATCTCGCAATGTCTTCGTCTTATATAGCACGTCGGCTATGCCGTCTGTTGGGAGTTGGTGCTCCAATTTCCTGGACCAAGTCCGTACCAAACTTCTCGATAATCCGGTTACGAAGCTCGCTTTTCTAGTATCACATAGATAGAAAGAGATAAAGGAGCATGTGGTAACGATTCAAAGCGTACTCATTCCATTAAAATGCACGTATCGTTCGATTTTTATTATCACAGTTTCAATCATTCGACCATATGAGAAGATAATTTAACAGAGTCGTACGAACTTGCATATAACCTTGTTCGATCGTATTTCGATTAATTTTAATAAGAAATATTTTGGACATCGTGAACGAAAGATCCTCAAGCGAGTTAACGACGCTTTCTTTCTGTCACGTGTTCGTGTTCTATCTCTTTTTCTTTTACCAAGTCATAAAAGACAGATATAAACTCGATTAAATATATTCCACGAAGGGAGGTTCGTCATTTTTTTCATTCCAATGATTTACATACAATATTATGCAAATAAAATTTTCGACTTTGATCTGATTGTAAGAATAACACCATACTTTGACAAAGGGACTTTGACGAACGACGATCTTTTCAGATATGTAAGTAGTCCCAGCATTTTCTATACTGGTGGTGTCGACGTTCGTCGGAAACTAACATTACATTTCTAGATCAAGGACTACGATTGCTGCGCCTCGCCGATATGGAAGAATCGCGAAACTCACTAATAAAAAAAAAATATAACTTGGAAGGTGACTTATGCTTATCATTGTTGGTTTCTCTTCTTTTTTCTTCTTTATATGTATATATATATATATATATATATATATATATATATATATATAAAAGAAATGAAAATAGAGTTGACGAAGTGAGGAAAGAAGGAATGGAAAGAAGAAAAAAGAAAAGAAGAAGGAAGGAAGAAAGGAAAGAAGGAAAAATCAAAGGTGCGCTCAGCTCGTCCAACTGTTGCTAAGGCGCCGAACTTAAGTTATTCCTTCTGCATATAGCAGAAATTGACGAGAGGAAATAACAAGACGAAGAAATATTGTAGAAAGCTTAAGGGGGGCAAAAAAAATCATTGAAGAAAATAAATGAAAGTGACTCACTTGACCAGGATCCTCCAGAAACAGCCAAAGCTGGAGCCGTTTGGCACTTCGCTCGCGTACGATATAGTCATTTCCTGCCTGACCGGTCGAACTCTTCTCTTCCTTCCTTCCTTCTTTCTTTCCTTTCTTCCTTCCTTCCTTCCTTTCTTCCTTCTTTCCTTCCTTCCTTCCTTCCTTCCTTCCTTCCTTCCTTCCTTCCTTTCTTCCTTCCTTCCTTTCGCTTCTCTTATTTTATTTTCTCCCTTTTATTTCTTATTTTTATTTAAGAAAGCGCGACTCCTTTTCTTTTTCGTTCACTTCCTTCTTCTCCTTCTCCTCCTTCTTCTGCCTCTCCTTCGTTTTCGTTTTCCTCGCGTACACCGATCCCTCGCACCGTGTCGTTGGTGTTTCCGGTGGAGAAGCTGCACACTCGCGCACATGCGGCGCGCGGGCCGCTTTACTAACTTTGCCCTTTCTCTTTTTTTATACCTACTCGATCCCTTATAAACTACGATCGAGGGCTCTCCGATTGACCGACTGTTTATATTGTCTACCGCGCTCGGTTTACCATCCGGCAGCTACGTTAACGCGCGATTGGACGAGACCAGCTGACAGGGCGGACCGACTGTCTACTAACTGAGCTCCACTGACGGACGACAGGAGTCATCGGGAGAACGGGGCCCGATTCTGCCACCTCTACCTGGCCCGAACAGTAACGGCTCTTTTTAACCGCGGGACCCCTACCTTTTATTACTTTTTATCCATCACACACACACGCACACACACGAACATACACACACACACACACATATATATATATATATGTGTGTGTGTGTATTTTTTTTTCTTCTTTATATAATCAAATTAATCTTTTTATGTTCTAATCCTTTTACCATTTTCTTTTCTTTTTTCTCTCATCTTTTTTTCCTTTTTTTCTTTTTTTCTTTTGATCAAACGAAAGCTCCAACTTCTGCTCGAAGAAATCTCTAATTCGATTAATCGAAGTCGGGTGAAAATCCATTGATGGGTCAGTTTTTAAAAATCGAACCAAGATATAGAGAGAAACGAAGATATTTTATTAAAAATCTGCGATAATTGTTTATTCGAAACGATGACCATGCATTTTCCATCGTCGAGAGAGAAAGCCAGAGTCGTTGCCCGCCGAGAGAGATTCCTCCGATTGAAGAAAGATACGATGGAAAAGTATCTCGTAGACTCGCTTGTCCTTTCGTATAGTCTCGTAGCAAAAAAAGTGTTTTGCGTTACGTCATGCTTACCGTGCGTAAATAAATACAAACATACGTATGTACATACATACGTGTTCGTTTGGAAAAATGTATAAACTTTCAGCGTAGCATGTTTAATCATTACAAGTCTAATGAATGATCGGAAATTCTTTTTCGGATCGTTTCTCTATATTATCATTATGGATTAAACGAAGATTTTCGATGATTTCGCGACGATTACTTGAATTATTATTCATGGGAAAATAAAAAGAGTTTAAAAAACAATCGATCGAGTCGCATGAATTATTTGTCGCGATCGAATGGGCTTATCTTTCGCTAAAAAAAATATCCAGGAGAATCTTGGTTTGCGAAAGTATTAACAATAAAACATGTGTGTGTACGTGCAATATATATACATATATATATATATATATATATATATATATATACACATCTTATTTAACACACATACGATACACTTATTTAAATACATGTACACGATCTATATACATGTATATATACAATACAATATGTATAGGATAAAAGTATAAGCGCCATTGAGGCAGATGTGAATTGATGTGCTCCAACGCGAAAGTGCTTTTGACGTATGATTTACGAGCTAAATACTTTTCGGATCGCTAACGCACGTCTGGCGTTCCAAGTGGACCTTCTTTGGGTAAAAGTAGAACAAACTCGAACAACTCCGCATCATACGCAAGGAAAATATATCGCACGTTTATATAAAGTATTGTTATTGTTGATAAGCACGTTCACCATCGTCGAAGTCATGATAAAAGAATAACATTTGTAAAATGGATGTATATGAGAAAAGAAAAACGAAAAGGTTCGAAATTCTGATCGAATCGGTATTTTAATTTTATGTCATATACATATTGACCGACTGTCGACTACGGCCCTGTTTTTCGCCTTCGAGCAACTTACGTACGTATATACGCGACGTTGCTTGCTACCGCGGTGGTAAAGTTTTCGAAACGACATCTGACGAACAATATCCGTAGCTTCCTCTCACCTTGCAGTGGCCTAGCCTGCGGCATACGGTCCTTAGTGTCGCGGTACGACCTTCCAATACCATCCAACGGTCACCTTTCACCTTCCCCTATTTATTCTCTTCTTTAACTTAATAGAATTTAAGGGAGAAGAAGCTTACACTTGCTTCTTTCTTGGCATAATTTTCATTCAATGAAAAAAAAAAAAAAAACTATCATCGATCTTATCATCGATTTAACACTTTGATAACACTTTGAACACATTAACATTGTTTTCAGAATAGATTAGTTAGAAATATATAAATATAAAAATTAAAAGGACGTACCAATGACGTCAGCTAATTCAATAATAATTAAGATAAGTTTCTGATAATGCAAGAACGTCTATCATGTTTTCGGTCATGAATGAACCGTTCGGTTTTATAGATGAACGTTTTGACAAAAATTAAGATATAATTTCAAAAATAATTTTTTCTTTAAATTCATTTCATGGAAAAATACGTATCTTGTTTTATACATAAGTATATATTCATTTTAAACAGTCATAGACAGACTAATTTGCTGTCCTTTTTCATCTCTTTCTGTTTACTAATTGAGAATATAAAGACGTCGCAACACGATATAGTATAATTATGCCCGTAGATAAGCCTAATCCAAGCTTAAGCGACATACAACGCATCATATCAAAATAAAAATGTGAGAAACATTTTCATGAATATGGAAACTAATATGTTATATCTGTAGGAATAAATTATTTAAAATGTTGATTTTTACAACGTATTTACAAAAAATCATCGAAATCCGTGAAATGAATCGTAATTCTATAATAATTACTTAGAATGCTAAAAGTGAATATTATATGGGACGAAAACTGAACGTTTCTCGAAAATATATCTGAAAGAATAAAATGTTTTGAGTTTCATTTTATTATGGAGATAAGTCACGCGCTAAAAAGATCAAAAGACGACACATGATTTATTGAAAGCGATAGTAATACTTTTTACACGTCAAGTTAAACATGGCACAAAAAACGGAATGTAGTTCTTATACGACCAATATGGAGTCAACTATAGCTTGAGATCCTTTTGAACATTGTACACAATATTCGCAGATGTTTGAAATAACTTCTTCTCGAATTCAGTCATACGTAGTCTCACTATCTTTGTGACGCCGTTTTCGCCAATCGCGCAAGGTAATGATAGAAATAATTCATTACATATGTCGAAATGTCCCTAGGATATGAAACGAGAGTCAGAAAATAAATAAAATTTATTGAAATTATAATATTAGAATTTAATGTATCTACTTGTATCATAGTCGATACGTTCAATATGCGTTGTGTATTCCCCAATATTGCATTTACGATGTCAGCCACGCAAAGTCCTATCGTAGTATTCGTATACCCTTTCAAACATCTGATCACTGTACCTCTAAAATGTGTCACATTTGAATTGATTAACATCTCTCTCTTTTTTTCCTTTTTTCACAAGAAATTCTTTAATAAAATAAAATGTAACTTACAATTGAACTACTTCCCTGGAAATTTCGTACCATTTTTCTTCGTCGGTTTCCAAACCAATATTCGGTATGATATCGCGAAATTGCACTCCTGCAACGTTCACTCCAGACCAGAGTGGAACTGTGCAATATAAAATAATCGATAGAATATATAAGAAAAATCATCGGAAAATCTAAAGGCGAATTAGATAATATAAAGTTAATTAATAAAAATTTTAATTATCTATTGCATAAAAATAAAAATGCAATAGTATAAGATATGAGTACATATATATATATATATATATATATATATATATATATATTTTTTTTAATTCGCAAATATAATAAAATAATAAATGAAATAAAATTATTTTAATATATAAATGATATTATATGTATTTAATATTAATGTATATATAAATACATGTAATATTATATATATATATATATATATATATATATATATATATATATATATATTTACCTTGAGAATCTCCGTGCTCGCCTATTATTATACCGTTAACGGAACTTGGAGCGATACCTAAACGATCTGAGATTAAGTATCGAAATCTGCAGGTATCTATATGAGTTCCGCAACCGATAACACGATAGTAGGGCAAACCACTCACTTTCCATGTTACATATGAAAGAATGTCGACTGGAAGGAAGAGAAAATTTTGCCTTTTTTTTTCTTTTGTTTACATTTGAATTCACGACCAATCAAATTCGTAATAACCTGGATTACTAGCGATAACGAAAACCGCGTTAGGACTAAAACTTAATAAAGGAGGTATTATGGTTTTGAAGATGTCAGTATTGCGTTTTGATAAATCCAAACGGCTTTCGCTTTTTTGCTGTTTTATTCCTGCACAAATGACCACTACTCTGGAATTGCTCGTGATACAAAAATCTACAAAGAAGTATTCATAAATTAGTGTGTGTGTGTGTGTATGGGTTGATTATAAATGAAAGGAACCAATTGAGTATCTCATTTCTTAGGACTAATAGAAAAAAAATATATTGAGAAAAGTTTCATGATTTCATATGTTAAATATTTTAAGAGTATGAAATAAAATAGCCCACTTCCGGTGAGACAGGAAGGATAATAATATTTAGTTTTTCTTATGGAACACCTTATATTATTTAATTAATTAGATATTCTGATCAATTATCTTTATAAAATTATTAAACAAGTATAAGCTTAAAGTTAATAATGGATGAGATATTAGCGTGTATATTTATCATATTAAAGCTGTTAATTGAGAATAAAAACTGTATAATTAATTTATAATAATAAATAAAATAATAGCTTTCTTAATTCAATAAATTTTCATGTCCGTTCTTTTCTTGTGCACACAATCGACATATTCTAATTATATTTTTTCGTACATTTAGAAACATTCCAGATTTGATTAATGGCGTTCATAATTTTTACTTGTTTCACTAAAATTTATATTATTCTTTCTGTCTACATACCATATTTCACGCATTAATATCTTGTTAATCATTAACTCTAAGCTTTTTACTTGTTTAATAATTTTTTAAAGATAATCGATTAAAATGTGCAATTAATTAAAAAAATACAAAGTGTTCGATAAAAAAAATTAGAAATCATCGGTCTAATCGGTAGTTAGCTGTTCGTACTCTTAAAATATTTATTATATGAAATCATAAAATTTTTCTTAATATATTTTTCTTGTCTATTGCTTCTAACAAAGGAAATATTCAACTGACTCTTAATTTTTAATCAAACTATATATTTGCTTTTAGTCGGTTAGGATTCATAAATAAATCAAACGATGTTATTTATTAAAAATTCATAAAAAAAAATCGTATTACCTGTATCAAACTCGATATGTGGATCTCCTATAAGAAGTGAACCATGAGAAAGGTCCATGCCCTCTCCTTCCAACTTTTTCGGAAACGCGTCGACAATAGCAACATGCGATGCGATTTTCTAGTGTTGAAATGATTAGGACATTTTTTTATTTAAAATTACTATGCTACGATGAATTTCTGATACATTCCAAGATTATTGATTATAAGATCTCATATATATATAGCCATACGATTTCCTCGTATGACATACAAACTTTCACTTTGCCTCAAAGTAGACTGTGAATGGAGAAGGAAGAAAGGAGAGAGAGAGAGAGAGAGAGAGAGAGAGAGAGAGAGAGAGAGAGAAGAAAGAGAGAAAGGTTCCTTTATACCTGAAATAGAAGCGCGTTGGCAACACCAATACCGACCATGCCAGCACCGACGATGGATACTTTATGACAACAATCTCTTACGGGATTAGACACCTTGCACAAGAGTTCCTCACGTAGACATACCGGTCTGAACAATGAGAACAAAGAACGTCAAATGAAAAATCTCGATATATTAGATAACGGAGAATCACGTTGAAACATTTGATTTTTAAAAATATATTTTAACGTGATATATATATATATAACGATATTTACTGCAAATCTGTTCGTTGCTTTTCAGATCCACAAGAAGCATCACCCGTGAATGATGCCGATTCGATTATCTTTCCATCATTTTTACCATTTAAGATATCCTTTAATATAGTCGGTGGTAAATCTCGAATACGTCGATTGATACCAATACTTCTTTTCGATGTGACATATTCCCAATTTTTTAAACAGATACGTAAAAAGGGAGACGACAAATGGAGGGTTAGTACCATTCTTTTAATTACACGGTTCCCGTCGATTTTTCATGTGTTTCGCAACAGTCCTTTCCCCTCGCTCGATTCATATAGGGCCAGACATTTTCGAGCGACATTCGCGGAAACTTCGATATACTGTCACTGCCACAGTTTGTCAATTATTATACGAATCCATGGTTACATCGCGCTTGTAACTAATTTAATACTAATTTATCAGTAACGGATAAATGGAAAAGCTTGATAGGTTATCATTGATTACCAAATAGATATTTGAAGTGAAATATTTGCTTAATTCTTATATGTTAAATAATTGGGGAACATTTATTACAAATATCAGTTTTATAAAAGAAAGAACCTTGAAAACGCAAGGAGCATTAATATTATGATGAATTCATAGTTTAATTGTAAAACATGTAATACGTTACAGTTCCTAGAACAATGTACTTTGCATCAATATTAATTAAATTACAATGTTAATACTAAAACTCGTACGTTTCTGGCTTGAATTTTTTAACGTTGAAAAAAAAAAAAAAAAGTAAATTGCGACATTTGTATATGCTTGTCATGAAATTAAAAAAAAAATTTACTTGAACACAATTTTAAGTAGATATTATAAAATAAATAATACAGTTAGCACCTTTAACATTCATCAAAAGCAAATTCCACTAAATAATTAATTATTGTGAAATAATTAAAATTTCCGTCGAATTAAATTATTAATAATAATAATAATAATTTCATCGAAATAAATGCAATTGTATGATATAAGAAAAAATATTGGAAGCAATCACCGATATCACTATGGCAAGAACAGAATAATTAATGTTCGAATAAAATAAATATACATTGAACAGACATACGACATATAAAGGGCAAAAAAAAATGTAAAGTAGAACGCATTACTGTCTGTAGTTTAAAGCTTCAGATTTTTCTGGACTTCATGTATTGTATTGGCTGATTTTTGAAGTAGCTCCCGCTCTTCATCCGTCAATATTTGATTAACAATTGACGTGACACCGTTTTCCCCCAACATAGACGGTAGAGATAAGAAAACGTCCTCGGTAATACCATGATGACCCTCCAATATTACACATTTATTAGTAATTATTAATTATTAAATATGTAAATATTCGATATATGTAAATAGTGGATATTCAAAAAAAATATTCATGTAAGTAAATACTGAATTTCGTTGTCTCAATATTAATGAAAACATTTGCATATGATACGAACAAAACTTTCTACTTTATCCACTTACGGTAAGTTTGACGGTAACGGCATGAACTTGATGAGTGTTTCGCAGTATCGTTGCTGCAAGACTCGATACGTTAAGTCCGATTGCCCAGGAAGTATAACCTTTGAGCTTGATGACCTCATATGCACTTTCAACGACCTGTTTATGTAATTCATCCCAATGTTCTTCGTCTTTGCTAGTACCGATGTCAGGTTTAAGATCGCGGAAACGTACACCGGCAACGTTTACGCTGGACCAAAGTGGCACTAAAAACATTTTAATAATTATAATAATTACTTGGAATAAAATGAAATTTTCAAAACTATTAAAGTTGTTCAATAGTCGTATTTATTTGTTCTATTTACCGCTACTATCACCATGTTCTCCAATTACCCAGGCATGACAAGAGGTCGGCGCTACGTTGAGTTTTTGAGAAAGTAAGAAGCGAAAACGGGTGGAATCCAAATTGGTGCCGCTACCAATAACCCGATTCTCCGGCAAACCAGATAATTTCCATGCGACATAAGTCAATATGTCAACGGGATTAGATACAATCAGTAAGATCGTATTCGGACTATATTTGACCAGCTGAGGAATGATCCCCTTGAAGATGTCGGTGTTCCTTTGAACAAGATCGAGCCTGGTTTCGCCTTCTCGTTGACGAGCACCCGCAGTCACGATACATAGAGTTGAATTCGCTGTAGCCGCATAGTCCGTACTGGCATTGATCCTTGCGTTCTTCAAAAACGCACTACCGTGTTGCAGATCCATCATTTCTCCTTTTAGCTTGTCTGCCATCACATCGACGAGGACAAGATCATTCGACACATTCTATAACCGAAAATACACTAATATTCTCTCTCTCTCTCTCTATATATATATATATATATATATTCGTACTCTCGATTAATATCTTCATAAGTCGATCTCTAATACGAAATGTTAAATATTTATTTATATAACAAATAAAGAATAAAATTATGCATATATTTTTCTCCTCTCTTTTTGTGATTTCAGGTCCATTTTGTAAAAGAAATTTTACAAATGTGTTAAATTTTACAAATATGTTAAAAAGGAAATAATGAATACTTACATTTGTCAAAATACTAAAGGCACATGCCATTCCGACCTGGCCAACACCCACTACTGTAACTTTATTTTTTCCATTCGAGGTGGGTTCCACAACGGTGCTCAATAATTTTTCATTTAACGACGTCATTTTTCTGAAAAAAAGATCAATGTTAAGTCAGAGCAAGATTTCTTTCGCTTTGGAATCTTTCCCGTTATCTACCGGCCATTATTTCGGTATTTCATTTTTTTATTTTCACTATTTTTCAGTATTTCTCAGTATATTTTATTAAAACCTATCTGTACATAAATATATAATAAATATATAAATATTTTAATTATTTATATATATATAATAATATAACTTTTACTAATAATAATTATTATTATAGTAATATTATATATTAAGTTAGAGCAGAGTGTATATATATATATATATATATATATATATATATATATATATAATGTTCTATTGTTATCTACTTCAACATAACGCAAATCCAAATATTAGGGCGGGGGGAAGGAAGACAGATAACAAAAAAGATCCATCTTCTCTATCATTCAGATGATATCTTCATACTCTCCTCTTCCAAAAGCTCCCTTTTCTCACGAAATGGAAGCAATTTTTATACTAGAAAGGATTAAGATTTCGGATTTTATTAATTAATAAAATTAAAAAAAAAATATAATTTTAAAAAACTGCAAGATTTTGTATATTTACGTAATTATTAACAACACATACGTTAATATTGTTTAATTGTAAATAAATTCTGACAATAAAAATAAATAGGAAAAATAAATTTCAATCAAGATCTATAAAAATGTAATGTCTTTCGCAATTAATATTTCAAGTTTAAATACAATTTACGAAGTTTATTTTGGCGCCCTATCAATAACAATAAATTATTAATAATCTCATTAGCAATCGTCAAACGTCTAGTAAATGTTATTTTCGAATCGATCGATTAATCTTTAGATTATTACCATGCGCATTATTATTGTTTATCATTCTGTTCGGAAGTATGACGAAGAATTACATCTAGATAGATATCTTATTGAATCAAAATATAATTTGCAATGCATAAAAAGTACGAGCAAATATTTCGGGTTAATACTCTTCACGCATAAATTTTTGCTGAAGGTCATCGTACCCGGAAGGTCAAAGGGGTCAGATAACATCACGTCTCCACATTTATATTTCCTGCGTTCGAAACGACTGGCTATTTTTATCCAATTTTTTCATGCTTCCGTATTTTCGAAGTGAAGAAGATCAGAAAAGCGATTGTTCGACGATTAGAAAATATTCGAGAAAAATACATTTAGAGAAGCGATAAAACAATAAATGGTTTGTTGAAACAAGAAACAATATTCTGAAAAAGCGTCGTTTAATAATGCGCAAAGTAAAAGACGATTAAAGAACACATTACATAAGGAAATATATACAATTTTATATTGAAATTTTGCCAACTCGTAAACAGTATTTTATTTTATTTTATTTAAAAAATAATCGTTCGTCTCAAAATATACGTGAAAATATTTTCTTCGCAAGATAAATACATACATGAAATTTTTACAATATACATATATTTCGAATTACATGTATCGATAATAATTCTCAATAAATGATATTAAAACCGCAGCTGGAGAATTATCGCGGTTTCCTTTTTTTTTTTTTTTTTTTTTAATCGTACACAGTCAAGTGTAAAATTTCAGATGAGGAAAGAACTCATATTAACAGTTTTATCGATTATAGATATTTTGATAGGAGAACAAATGACATTGTTAGGGAACGTTGCCATAAGATGGCACCACGATAGGCATTAAAGTTTGACCGGCATTTTTGCCGGTATTCTATATCGTATCATAGAAAAACGACATGTGTATGATACATCTTTGGAATTTAATTGCAAATTCAACATATTCTATTAGAATCAATTTATAAATTTAATCGAAGGAATGTCGCGATAAAAAAAAAGAAGTATCTATCATGCCGTATGGCATTCCATTATATTATACTTCACAGAAAAGAAACGAAGATCCATGACGATAAATAAATTCTGCACGTTCACCTCTTGAGAAATCCTTTTTTCTTTCCTCTTTTTCTTTTCTCTCTCTCTCTCTCTCTCTCTCTCTCTCTCTCTCTCTCTCTCTCTCTTTCTCTTCTTTGTTTTTCTTTACGAAGAAATATCAATAACATCAGATACGTAATAAAAAAGACGAAAATTACAGGTTTATATTACGTATAATCATTAGACATTTCTCTTATTACTATTTCCTATCGTTAATATCATAAATCGATGAAAAATAAAAATGTACAATTTTTCTACGTTAAAGCATTAAGAGAAAAACATGTTTTCACTAACCTTTTAAATATATATTTCTCGTAATCTCAATGAAGATAGACCGTCAAAGCTGTTGCAGACCGACAACGAGAGCTCAAATAAACTTCCAGCCGGCACGCCGGTTTACTACTGACTGAACTGACAGAACTCACAGTAGCATTTCCTAAGGTGACCTTCATTCTCCCACTTTTTATACTTACCACCGGCTCGTACAGCTGTATGAGTGCGATTAACGAAAGAAAAACCATGGTGTTATTGATCGTTTCGAAAAATCGTACCAACTTATTGTTGATTTTTTACAATGAATTCCAATTTTTAACCATCTTCTCATTTCGATCGTCGACATATATATATATTTTTTGTTTTGCTATCTCATAGGAAATAGTTTGACTCCCGTAGTAAGCCGGCGCGTATGCTTGAAAGCACGTAACACCCGAAGATATTTCTTGGAAGTATGTGCCGTCGACGATAGGCGCACACGTTTCTGTCTGATGCAATTTTTTTTTTTTTTTTTTAGAGACGCGAGCACGCATTCGTTAATAATTCATTAGCGAATTCATCCGTTATTTTCGATTCTAGCGTAGAACATTCTTCTAAAATCATATTTCATAAGATGTCACGATTATTACAAATATGATATTTATTCGTTTTAAATTAATTCTTACGTTCAAACTCTGAAATAATTATTTCAATTACATAACTTTATTAATGATGAAATCAACTTAATTAACCTGAATAGTGTGTATATAAGAGTATATTATTCAACGTAAAAATCGAATATACTTTTCAGAAATTAATATTCTTTTACAAAAAAAGAAAAAAAAAAGAAGAAACAGTAATACAGTATTATAACATTAGTTCATACACGCGCTTTGGAAAGTGACATAAAGTCTATATATTAAAAAGGAATCGCAAACGAAAAGTGCGATAACGAAAGAAATCATCGAGTGTGTGTGATTTAATTTTATCTGATGTAATCCACGTTATATTTGAGATATCTCAGATTGCCGTATATATATTTCGAACACAATAGAATTAGAAGATCAATGGAATTATGCACGTGAATACTGTCTAATGATGCTCGAACGAAAAGGATGAATCATATTAGGCAATCATCTGTTCTTCAAACTAGAATGATGCAACAAACGCGTGTGAATGGTGAAATTCTAATAATCGTAATAAAATACAACAGATTATGTTATACGTGAAAGTACATCGAGCAAGTGTTTTCCTTCAAGATAATCTTCATAAATTGTTACGATATTAGAAATCTGATTATATTCCTATTTATAGATTGAAGAATCGAAGAAAATTACACGCAAACAAGTCATGAAATATACCAATTTGAAAATAGTCTTACGAATTTATGTAAATATAATAAAACTTTTCACGAGTCATTCGACGCGACGCCACTACTATTAAAATTTATATATGTTAGTTAACATTACCATATAAATTACAGGATAAATATATCTTAATGTTATTTAAATTTTCTACACATAAATTCTTTTTTCATTGTCGTGGATTATTTCCAGAATTAATAAAAGTCAAATATAAATAATATTATTTATAACAATATATATATATATATATATATATATATATATATATATATATATATAATAGCAGATTATAATACACAATATATGATTATAATAGACAATAAATTCTAGCATAATGTTTACAATTCTATTGCATATATTTAGGTGTCGTTAAACTTTCTTTTTACTAACATATTATTTTACTGATGTAACTAAAATAAATGAAATTTATTCAACTTTTTGAATTTTGTGTTTAGCCATTTTATACAAAACTATATTTATCACGTTATAATATCTGCATATAGCGTGATTACATAAAACTTAATTCTTCGAAGCGGAAATCAGATATATATATATATATATATATATATATATATATATATATATATATATATATATATACATATAGACGAGGATGGTCATTGATCGATTTTCTTAAGACGAGACGTCCGGTCCGATATTTACTTTTCTCAGCAAATAACTCTCCCACTCATCCTAACATTTCGTACGTCGAGCAAAGTGATACGTGAGCGTGAGCACGTGTACAACGTTTCAGTAGAAAGCACTCTCAATCACGTGAACCATATTTTAAACATTTTCTGCAAGTAGACACATTCTGAAGAGACAAAGTATTATTACTCATCTTATTTTTTCTCTACAGAATATACCTATATATAACATATTATCTTTTTTTATAGAAATATATAATTTTTATATTATTTTTTAAATCTTTCATTGTAATTTTTGTTTAAAATATCATTATAATAAATTATCGAGTTATAATATTTACATAGGAATTTGAGAGTGCAACCGTTCTGTAATATTCTCACGTTTATTCATTTAAAGATCAGACGCAACCCTAAATAAAGGATCATAATATTATAAATAGTGGGAATAGGTAAAACGTTTTATTAGTGTCGTTTTCGACGTCAATTAAATAATAAAACAATCAAAAAACGTGCCATTCTAATATGCGAAATGGATTTTTTTTAAGTTCGTACATCATCGCTATAATGACATTACAATTTTTATATATTACATGTGTATATACGACTGTTCACTGTGAAATTTATTACGTTTCCGATATAATCAAATAGAATAAGAAAACTTTTATATAATAAGAATTCCGTCTGGAACGTGTTATAATATATAAAGATTATAAATATGCTCTTGTACCAATCATGTGTTTTGTTTACTTCTAGTGATTCGATTCATTGGACGGGCTATAGAGTCCATCTAACGCTTTGATATTTTATAAATCTATAAAATCTTACAACAGCTTAAAAAAACAGCTCTTAACAATTAGTAATAGTACAACATATGATTGTATTTTTTATGCACTTCTCAATTAAAACAAATGTTTTAATACGTTTATTCGTTTATATTATATAATTAACATTTTTATAAATTGTATTTACTTTATAGAAAAAATAATCACATATGAAAGATAGAAATAAAATGTACCAAGAAATATATAGTTTTAATCCATAAAATCAGAAATAAAATATAGAGTTTAACACGATATCAACAATATATAAATGCATCAAATAGCTCATAATGATTTTTTTCAGTTAAGAATGTCTGTTGTTGCGCTCTTAAATTACATTGTTCAGTCAACTTTTATTTCACTCATTCTGGGAACGTAATGGCGCACACCCCACTTAATATTCGCCTCTTTGTCAGTTTTAACAAATGTATATACAGGTCTTTTTAATTTATTCATATATTCTAACTTTGATAAAAGATTAGTTGATGTTGCTAAAACAGAAAAGATATATCTATATATAATATATATTTTTCATAATATTGTATCTTACACACACGCACACACACACACATATTTCATGAAATGATATTTAAACATATACACATATGACTATTATAAATTACATATATATTTGTACAAATATTTACAGCTTTTATGCTGTATTTATTTTATCTTTGATCGTAGAAAATATAATATAATTTTAATAATAAAATTTTTGTGAATAAAATTATTTTTGATTGATTAACACACAAAAAATACACAATAAATTGTTTCATGCAATTGTCTCAGTTGCTAAAAGCAAATTCGTTGTAAGAAAATATAAATTGAACTTACATTTATTACAAGTAATAATACATATTGTATTTAGAAGTAAGTATACAAGGATGTATTTCTTGTAACTCTGGAAGAAGCACAAAAGTATAAATTAAATATTACATATGTACACGGAATTGACTTTTGTACAGATTTATATTCACAAATAAGTTTTATGTCGTGCATTTAATATAAACTTACTACACAAAATATTTGCATTGTAAAGTTCTTTGTAAAATGGAGGTTAAGATAGAATGATCTTATAAAGTATAAGTTGTAACTTTCATAAGTGATTGGTATTTATATACTTTTTTGATTATATATACCAAAGTAAGTTTTCTTACTAAACTTTCTCTTGGCCCAGATTTGGCCACCTATTACTTTCAATAATGTACAGTTATCGTAATTGTAAATATGATTTCACTTTTACCATATACAACACATAAATATACAAGATACTAAACTTAAATAACATATATTCTTATACATATATGTATTATATTATTGCCATTAGTTTACTTAACTATAATTAACGAATCATGAAAATTTAAATAATATAAATATATCAAAATTATTGATATACTATAAAATACAAAATATTAGATTATTGTATGCTTTAATTTAGCAGCGATGCTTTGGCGCTGTAATCGCAATATCAAAGAAAGAATGACATTGGCTGATCTAGTTTCGCCATCTAGTGCTCGAAGTATTAAGTAAGTTTTAAAAGGGTATAGAAATTCTGTTCTACCTTCAACTATCTAGCTATAGGATATAACGTAAATGATCATATGCGGTTTGTAGGGGCAAGATCTAATTTCTTGTTAGGTTATTTTTGCTTGGATGTCGGCAAAATTTTATTTATTCGATTAGAATACCGATCAATCATCGTCATGGAAAAATCACAAAAAATGCCCAAAGTGGCTAAGGTAAAATGATTATTATACATTAGTATATTTTATTTTATAATTATAAATTATAGCATATATTATATGTATATGTATATGTATATGTATATGTATATGTATATGTATATGTATATGTATATGTATATATATATATACACACATGTATATATATATACATATACTGTACTTGTAATACTTATTCACAATTAAAATTTTTTTAAGGTAAAAAACAAAGCACCAGCGGAAATTCAAATCACAGCAGAACAATTGTTGAGAGAAGCAAAGGAAAGAGATTTGGAAATTTTACCTCCAGTAAGAATAATATATAAAATCTTTATGGCATTATGTTAAATCTATCAATAATTTTATTTCTAATAGAGAACAATTCACCTATAAGTATTTTCTTTTAGCCACCTAAGCAAAAAATATCAGATCCTCATGAATTGGCTGATTATCAACATCGAAAACGAAAGATCTATGAAGATAATATACGTAAGAATCGTATGGTTATAACGAATTGGATAAAATATGCCCAATGGGAAGAAAGTCAGAAACAAATACAGAGAGCAAGGTACTACTTTGTATAGAAAAAGTAGTAAATTTTGTAGTATTAGTTGGCTTTCAATTAAGTCCAATTTATTTTAGATCTATATATGAACGTGCGTTAGACGTTGATCACAGAAACATTACATTATGGTTGAAGTACACCGAAATGGAAATGCGTAATAGGCAAATAAATCATGCCAGAAATTTATGGGATCGTGCAGTCACAATTTTACCTAGAGCTAATCAATTTTGGTACAAATACACGTACATGGAAGAAATGCTCGAAAATATTGCCGGTAAGATTTGATATAAAAATTAGGAATTATTTTTTATTTCGCAAAACTAGATTCAATAAAGATTTATTATAGGAGCACGTCAAGTTTTTGAGCGATGGATGGAATGGGAACCTGACGAACAGGCATGGCAAACATATATTAAATTTGAATTACGATATAAAGAAATACAAAGAGCAAGGGAGATATATGAACGTTTTGTAATGGTCCATCCTGATGTAAAACATTGGATAAAGTATGCACGTTTTGAAGAATCTCATGGATTCATAAATGGAGCACGCAAAGTTTATGAACGTGCTGTAAACTTTTTTGGAGATGAGAGCTTAGATGAAAGACTATTTATAGCATTTGCAAGATTTGAAGAAGGACAGAGAGAAGTACTATTTTAAAATAACAATATATAATGTATGTCTATTATATAGAATATAACTTAATACAATATAATTTTAATATTTCTTTGATAGCATGATAGAGCAAGAATAATATATAAGTATGCTTTAGACAATATTTCAAAAGAAAGAACAGAAGAAATATATAAAGCATATACCATACACGAAAAGAAGTATGGAGATCGTTCGGGTAATTCATATATTATATAAAGATTAAGATTTATTTTATATATTATATAATTTGAAGTATTAATATTAATTTGTATAAATTTATAAAAAAAAGTAAAGTGAATTTCATAAATAATTTTTAAATAGGAATTGAAGATGTAATAGTTAGTAAAAGAAAATATCAATATGAACAAGAAGTCAAGGAAAATCCTTCTAACTATGATGCTTGGTTCGACTATTTGAGATTAGTAGAATCTGAAGGAAATCCTGATGTTGTCAGAGAAACGTATGAACGAGCTATAGCAAATGTCCCACCTACTAAGGTAATAAATACTTACATTTTAATAATTCTGAAGTCATATTAAAGTTCTTTTCCATAAAATGAATTTTTTTTTTCACAGGAGAAGCAATATTGGAGACGATATATCTATCTATGGATAAATTACGCATTGTACGAAGAACTTGACACGGAAGATATAGATAGATGTCGTCAAGTTTACAGGTACAGTTTTTTTCATATTAAATTATTGTTATATACAAAGGTATAATTTTCTAATATTTTTGTATTTTTTAGAACCTGTTTAGAACTTATTCCACATAAACACTTCACTTTTTCTAAAATATGGCTATTTTATGCATTTTTCGAAATACGGCAAAAGAATTTGACTGTAGCAAGAAAAACATTGGTATGCTATTTTCTCTCTTTTTTTTTTTTTTTTTCCTTTTTTCTTTTTCTTCTTTATAACCATTGAATTATTCTATTTTCAAATACTTCATTTCATTTAATTCAGGGTATGGCATTGGGTGTTTGTCCAAGAGATAAATTGTACCGTGGTTACATTGATTTAGAGATACAACTTAGAGAATTTGATAGATGCAGGATTCTTTATGAAAAATTCCTTGAATTTGGACCTGAAAATTGCACAACATGGATGAAAGTAAATAACTTTTCTTATAGTTAGATTTATCTTATTTTTCATTTCACTTATATTTATTTTCTTATTATAATGCCTGTACAGTTTGCAGAATTAGAAACTTTACTAGGAGACATTGACCGTGCTAGAGCTATTTATGAATTAGCTGTGTCTCAGCCAAGGTAAGCTATATTCCTTGAAATTGCAACTGAATATAATTAAAGTTGCATTTTTCTTTCTTCTTTTCTTTTTTTTTTTTTTCCAAAAATTTTACGTTCAATATCTCGATTATTTTTATTATTTAGATTGGATATGCCTGAACTTTTATGGAAGTCATATATAGATTTTGAAATATCTCAGGATGAAATAGAAAACGCTAGGCAACTATTTGAAAGATTATTAGAACGAACTCTTCATGTCAAAGTAAGTTTGTTTTCGTAATATTATTATATATATTAAACTTAACAATTTATAAATATTCTATCACATCATATTACAGGTTTGGATAGCTTATGCTAAATTTGAATTAGCTAATTCTCCATCAGAGGTTGATGTTGATAATGTTACTTTAGCTCGCAGAATTTTTGAACGTGGGAATGATGCATTACGTTCAAACGGTGACAAAGAAAGTAGAGTATTACTTTTGGAAGCGTGGAGAGATTTCGAAAATGAGAAAGGAGACGAAGAGAGTCAGACTAAAATTATTGCCAAAATGCCTCGAAGAATTAAACGAAGAAGACGCATTGTTGGAGAAGATGGAGTATGTGGATTAAAATTAAATAGTTTTGGAAGAATTTCGATAAAATTAAATGGTTTTGGAAACTAATCTTATTTATTGTTTCAGAATGATGGGTGGGAAGAAGTATTCGACTTCGTATTTCCAGAAGACGAATCTCAAAGACCAAATCTTAAATTCTTGGCATCAGCGAAAGCATGGATGAAACAAAAAATTTCCAATGAAACTGTTCAAAATGAAAATAAACAATTAGAATCGGACAATTGAAAATAATCTATATCTTTTATATTATTACAATATTTAAATTCTGTAAAATAGATAAGTATTGTGTACAATTTTATATTTATCTTGACTTATAGAATGTTAAAGATGTATTAAATTATGCCTTTATATTTTTTGAATGTAAATATAGTTTATATTTTATAATTAAAAAACAATTTTCTGTAATTTATATTTAAAACCATTATACCTAAAATCTTTTATTATACACTTTTAGTAATTTTTATTTAAAAATACGTGGGTTTTAAAATATATTCTGATACTAATATTTATCATAACATAAGATAATTCTTATTAGGTGAAGAATATAAATAATTCTTTTGTTAATTATAAAAAATATGCACGCCATACTTGATGATTCATAAATTATTTTATAATTATTTAAACGATTTTTATTGCACGCGGGATAGAATAGAGTAATATTTAAACAATAGTACATTTATTTAAACATTAAAAAGTCAGAATCACGCGCGGGACTTAAAATAATTTTCATATAAACTTCTATTACTTGAAAATTTTAATTTCGGTGTAGTTGCCTCGTGTAATATAAACATAAACGCACTTTTTCACGACTTTGACAGTTCACGAGTTAGTTTCGTATTGCTCTCCGACCTGTGCACAACGCGAATAACTTTTCTTAACACAAAATTTTATAAATTAATGATTACCGATAATTTTATAATTATTTAAACGATTTTTATTGCACGCGGGATAGAATAGAGTAATATTCAAACAATAGTACATTTATTTAAACATTAAAAAGTCTGAATCGCGCGCGGGACTTAAAATAATTTTCATATAATCTTCTATTACTTAAAAATTTTAATTTCGGAGTAGTTGCCTCGTGTAATATAAACATAAACGCACTTTTTCACGACTTTGACAGTTCGCGAGTTAGTTTCGTATTGCTCTCCGACCTGTGCACAACGCGATTAACTTTTCTTAACACAAAATTTTATAAATTAATGATTACCGATAATTTTATTATTATTTAAACGATTTTTATTGCACTCGGGATGGAGTAGAGTAATATTTAAACAATAGTACAATAAATTAAACATTAAAAAGTCTGAATCGCGCGCGGGACTTAAAATAATTTTAATATAACTTTCTATTACTTTAAAATTTTAATTTCGGAGCAGTTGCCTCGTGTAATATAAACATAAACGCACTTTTTCACGACTTTGACAGTTCGCGAGTTAGTTTCGTATTGCTCTCCGACCTGTGCACAACGCGATTAACTTTTCTTAACACAAAATATTATAAATTAATGATTACCGATAATTTTATAATTATTTAAAAGATTTTTATTGCACGTGGGATAGAATAGAGTAATATTTAAACAATAGTACATTTATTTAAACAT